GTAAATGCTGTGCTTCGCACCGCATTAAAAAAAAAAGTAAACTCGCGACGGACTACATAAATGCAGTGCTTCGCACCGCATTAAAAAAAAGTAAACTCGCGATGGACTACATAAATGCAGTGCTTCGCACCGCATTAAAAAAAAAACTCGCGCACGACTACATAAATGTTGTGCTTCGCACCACATTAAAAAGTAAACTCGCGAACGACTACATAAATGCTGTGCTTCGCACCGCATTAATAATAACAGAAGTATACATGTCTTCTTTATCGACATTTTCTTATGTTTTATTTTGTTGAATTTGCTGCTGAGTTTCTTACTTTCTTCCTTTCTTTATCGAATCTCAACTTTCTTTTCATCATGCCATTATCATATGCATCACAAAATAAATATTAATGATTAGATAAGAAAAAGTAAGTTGAAGAATCAATATCAAAATACGACGCCATACAATCATGATTCCCAACAGGCGCTTTTCAGCAGAAAAGAATATTGCTTGTGAAACTCATCGTGGCAGGAAAGCAAAAGAGAAAAATATATTTTTCTCCTCCGTAGGTTTCAATTGTAGTTTAATATTGGTATTTTCTTTTTGTTTCTATTATTAAAACGACAGGTGAAATTGGACACAACATCAATCTTTCCAACATTTTTTTCCCAGCAAGTTTTTTTTTCTCACAAATATTTAAAGGTATAGAAGACATTCAGCATTTCAATATTTTTGCTAAGTTGAGGTATGTTTATTTTCCTTCAAGATTAATTTTAATTTCCATCTATAGGTTAACTAATCAATAAAAGCATTTTAATTTAAAATAAAACTCTGTTTTTACTTGATACACAACAAAAAATAAAATGGATGGTAGTAATGATGCGTTAGCCCAGGCTATCATGGAACAAGAACAAATGCAGCGCGATGGTGTTAAGGCATTTATTGAAGATGTTAGTCAAGGACTTTTACGAAATGATAGCTGGGATACATTTAAACCCGATGAAATAGCTGAAGCATCACTTCAAGCTGCAGCTGGAAAAACTGATTCTTCTACTAAAGATGAACAAACTCATCGTTTTCGACAGTTTTTATCTATTGCAACCAATTTCTCATCGTTACCATTTGCTCAAAAACTACACAAAATCCCAGAATTAGTAGAAAGTATTAAAGAATTACTTGAAAATATGATGAAAGAAGTTCAAGAATATAGCGATATGGCAAATGAACTTCGTGATCTCATTCAATGTTTTGTTCGGATGGTAACACAAGCAAAACATAACGTCAATATGATGCTTCCGCTACTTAAAGCTGCTAAATCACAAATGGGAATTGTTCAAGATGTCATGAGTACGGATCCAAGTAAAGCACTTAATGGTATAGATAAAAGAGATATTCAACTTGCTTTGAATCGAATGTCAAGTGGAATACAAAGTTTACTCGACTTAGCTAAATCAGCAACAGCTGAAAGCCAAAAACTAGACGACCGTATACATAATATGACTAATTCAGTTCAATCGAAAAAAGTCACTGTCGAGGAACGATTGGACGTAGCAAAGTTTTGTTTCAAATGTGCTGTACCAGCCAGTACGATTACATCTGGCGCTGCAGTTGGAGGATTTGTTGCAGCTGAATCATTTGGTGGTGTTGGCGCATTAATTATTGCTGGAACAGCCTTTCCTCCTATTATCGCTATCATTGGTGCGTGTATTTTAGGTGGAGCTTGTGCTGGAACGGTCATTCTTTTGGTAAAAAAATTTTGGGCTCGTCACCAATTAAAGGCCCTTAACTATCTTAACAAAATATTTGAAGGTTTAGTTGAATTAAGTGCAGCAAATGCACATTTCATGCGTTATATGGCCGATACGGAAGAAAAAGCAAATACAGTTTCACAACATATTCAAGATATTCAACTATGTTTAGAAAGTGAAAGACAACGACGAGCAAATCATAATGTCTGCAATGTAGCTATAGATTCAACAACGGCTATGATAGAAAGTCTTGAACGAATATCTAATTTAGATATATCAAAATGGAGTGATACTTCAAATGTGATCAGTTTTTCGAAAACAAGAATGATAACATATGCTATCACAAAATAATCAATGGAATCGACAAACCGAATATAACAGTTACCTCTATAATATTATTTTATGCATTTAATCACGAAGTTCTAGTGTGCTTTACTAAATTGATAATTATTTATATCTATTCTCAGAAAACTGTACTACTTTAAATAAATCCAAAATTCTTTTCTCATGAATTTTTCTTAGCAAAAATATAATAACTACTTTCTCTTATAATAGCAAAATAATCTGCTCAGTCTATACTGTCTGTTATGAATTTCATCATATTCTATTAGATTGATCAATACTTGTATAAACGAATCGTTTACTTGCTATGTATGAAGCGAATACCTAAATTTCAAAAAATCTATATTTGTGACAGATCCAATCGATGAATTCACACATAAGCTTTATGCATAAAGTGGGAAACGAACACTTGATCAAACAAACACTTGCACACTAAGTATAAATTAGAATAACTGGTTTGAACTTCGACTATTATTTTCCTAAAATGTGATACTGTGAGTTGTTCGATGATATTTTTATGGAATAGTAGAAACGTCGATGTTTGTGGAAGTTGGTTTAATCCTATCTTTTTTTGTTGTTAATAAGTAGGATTTCGTTTTAGATTATGATTACTTGGTCACTGTATAAACATCTCATTTGATGCACTGATATTTGTTTGTGCTAATATATTATGCACATTTCTTCGATTCTGCTCTGATTCTTCATAAAATTTCTGAGTTGTACCACACAGTGGAGGATGTACGTGTGAGTGTTGAGTTAGACATCATCGATAGCATCATTAAACAACAGCTGACGAACAACGAAGATACCTCATCGTCAAATTCCCGGGAAATGCATTGTTTCGACCTTGTTTTTGTTCAATTTTTTCTATGGTCGTTTTTTTCATTTTTAACATAGAAACAAGTTATAATAAGAGTTGATGCATGTTCTCAAAGCGGGTTAAATCCTCTATCACCCTGTATTATTGTCGTTCTTGACTTGCTCCTTATCTGATGAGTAAAGAAGGATAAAAAAAATTGAACGAAAAAGGACGCAACAATGAATTTCCATGGAATCTGACAATGGGGTTCTTCAATTGATTTTCTATATGCAAGTGCAATTTAAATTGAACACATTTAGAGTTGTAGAAAACACCACGTGACATATTATTTTTCTCAAAAAATGTCAATTTATAGCAACAATATGCTAAAAAATATCGAGTTAAGATATTTTTTTTTCAGAGGATCTATAAAGATTTCGAACTTGAATAATACCTAGCCGGTCACACTCCGCCGTACTTCCATATATATACATCACTTTCATGATATATTTTCTGGTTAAATCTAAATGTTAATGTAACTCTTTTTAACCCTTTACCTCCCACAGCGGTTCCAGTACAGACACCAATAAAATAACTAGTCTACCTAGCATGAGGGTGTGGGTGTTGGTGTGGGTGTGGGTGTACGGTGTGGGTGTGGGTGTGGGGTGGGGGTGGGTGTGGGGCGGGGGAGGGGGGGGGGGGGGGGGGTGGGNGATTTGCTTTTTGACAAGATTTTTTTGCTATAAAAATAACAGCCGACACTATATTAATGATAAACGGAGCTACAACATGAAATGCATGTATTAAAGAATTGTATATTTGTAAACTAGATGAATAAGTAGCAATACACCATATTCGTTTATCATGTTCATTTTCTTCATCAATTAAACATCGATAAAAAGGATCACAAATATTTGTAGAAATAGTAAAAATTAAAAGAATGATTAATACTAGTTTAGCAATTCGTTTGCTTTTTTCCTTACGAAAATTAATACCTTTGATAAATGTGATAACTCTTTCAACAGCCACACATGCATTTAACCATTGATTCATGTTAAGCTAAACTCGTAAAAGAAAATCAAAAGATACACATTGAATTTGTAAAAATGATCGATGTAATATAACTACCATTTGTGTGAGAACAAGTATTCAAAATTTTAATCCAAACATAATTGTTGTAAGTAAAGTAGTAATTGATGAACCTAATAAATACCAACCACAACCGACTTGACATACTAATTTATTGTTGAATGCTATCAGAGATAAAATTCCATTGACGAATCCTGCTATCATACCCATTATTGTTACTATTAAACTAAATAGCACAACATTGAATTAATTTAAAAAATTAACCTGTGGTTGAATATGATAACCTAAGATAGCATCAAGTGATAAAACAAATCCATTTACACTAAATTGACATCGTGTTCCATAAAAGCATGGTGAACATATACATATTGATTTTCTTGGACAATTTTGGTCCTCTTGAAAACATTGACCTTCATTTTCACAAGCACTTTGACCTAAACAATCATATTTCATATTATGATTAAATTCAAAAAAATTTGCTAAACGTTGTTGTTCGAAATCGTAACATAAACAAAGATAAACATCGTCATAAAAACAAGAAATATTTAATGAATGTTTTTGATATGGTAAATGATAATATTTGACACGACGAAGAAGTTGAGTTTGAACGAAGCTGTGATTAAATAATTCGCTGATATGGTGACAACGATCTGATGGATTTATCATTTTAATGATTGTTGTTGATTGCTTCTAGGTTTTTTGTGTATGAGTTAAATAATAGGTTTTGTTGAAAATTTCTATGAAAACAAGATGAAATAGTATTGGCCAATGTATTGTGTGTGACTTTTGTGCAGGAGGTATTGTTAGAAGAGTCGTTGTTCTCTTTGGTACACTCTTACGAACAACTTCTATGAAATGAATAAACATTGATGACGATAAAGTTATATCATTTCTAAATGATAGAATGATTTTGTTATCAACCATTTCACATCGATCACCAGAATAACTTTTCTGACAAATGCATATAAATTTTTTCTTTGATCGCATCCGTTCATCAATAGGCATACATTGACCACCGTTTTGACGTGTTAAATTATTATTTATTTCACAAATTTTATCGGTAAGTAGACATCGATGACCAAATTTATAAATAGGACAAATACATACAGATCGATTGTAAGCAGATAAATCAATACATATTGTATCAGACGAACACGTACAATTATATGGTACAATACAAAATCGTTCAGACCATCCTGGATTTCATTGACAAAACGTAACATTTTTTGGATTAAGGATCGTTCATGAAGGATATCCAGGTAAGAATCGAATGTTTCCGTCTATCTACTTTCGTTCAATTGACGCCTTCGGAAATTTTGCCAGCTGTCACAAG